ATACTTACATTATGTTTGAAGGAAACTCCATGGGGTGAAGTATGATATCAAAAATAAGAATAGAGTTGAAGGTTGTATACGCAACGCATGTTTGGTTAAAGAATCATCAACACTTTGTACGCACTACTTTAAGTCAGACATTTTGACTAGATATAGAAAAGTGCCACGAAATGCGGATGATGGTGGGGTTGGAGAGGACCATCCTCAAATGTTGTCTGTTTTCAAGCATGTTGTTCGTGGTTTTGGTAAAAAGAAAATAAGAAGGTTAGATTATAGAGAATATCATGCAGTTCGGACATATATTTGGTTGAATTGTGATGCAGTGAAACCATATATAAAGTAAGTTAATTACCATGATCTAGATATACATATTATTTACATTTGAAGTTATTGAAATAAATTAACTCTTTTTTCTTCAGAATTTTTGAGGATACCTTGAGACAAATACAACCATGTATTCAAGATAGCGAGATTGATGCTAAACTTGAAACAGAGTTTGCGTCTTGGTTTAATCAATACGTAAGTACTAATAGATCTAAATTAATCTATACAGTAAATTCAATATAATCTTAATGTATGCCTAATTACTTATAGTGTCAATAGGCACGTGATCCTTCATCCGGCATTACCAATCAATTCATGAAAGGTCTTGCTGAAGGGCCACTGCATAAGGTTCAACCCTTTAATGGATATGTTGTAAATGGTTACAAATTTCACACTGAAGAATACGGTTCAAATAAATCTACAATGAATAGTGGTATATGCATTAAGGGCTCTAGTCACAGTGCAAATGAGATCGATTATTATGGTATATTGACAGAAATTCTGCAGCTAGAGTATCATGCATTACCATTTAAGCGAATCGTATTATTTAAATGTTCTTGGTTTGATCCAACACCAAAACATGGTACAAGAGTACATCCACAATATAATCTTGTTGATGTTAACAGAAGAAGAACGTTTAATAAATATGAGCCATTTATTATGGCTGTGCAAGCTTCTCAGGTGTATTTTGAAACCTATCCTTCAGTAAAGAGGACACAGAATGATTGGTTAGCTGTTTGTCAAATAAAGGCACGTTCAATTGTAGATGTTCCAAATATAGTAGAAAAACCTCACACACTGAATGATCTAGCTTTTCAAGAGGATAACAGTCAAATGCATGAAATTGATATTTGTGAAGATGAAACACCTTATATATTGAATGATCCAGATGGTGTTTTTATTGACATGGAGGAGGAGGAGGAAGGAGAGAGGGAAGAGGAAGAGAGGGAGATGGAAGAAAATGATGAGGCTAATGACAATGATGATGAGGAGGAGGAGGATGCTGATGATGGGGGGGAGGAGGATGATGAGGATGAGGATGTGGATGAGGATGAGGATGAGGATGAGGATGAGGAGGAGGATGAGGAGGATGGTGATGATGATGATGATGAAGATGACAACGAGGAAGGGAAAGAAGAATATGAACATCAAAACAAAAAGAGAAGAAAGTGTTGAGATTAATGTCACTTGAAGTTTTTAAATTTTAGTTTTTCTATTAATCTAAAGTTGAATGTACTGTTTTATGCTACAAGTGATTTTCATTTTCTTAGTTTTGCTATTATATCTTGTGATTTGTGTTGGGCATCTTATATTATATATCTACAAAATGAACTAATACAATTTGAATGTTAGTTGATTTTTTATCAAGAACTTTGTTGCTGCAATTGTACAAGGTCTAGGTAATTAAAATTTAAGAATATGAGTGATACGCCATCATCAAATGCTGGTTCTCCTACTGGTCCTTGTACTCCAACCACTGCTAGTACTCCAGATGTCTCTATTGGGTCTACTAGTTGCTCATCAACATCTGCTCGGTTGGTCATCTCAGTTGTAGCGGAAAAGTAAGAAAGATATTTTTGTATAGTTGATCTAATTTTTTCTAATATAAGTATTATGAAATGTGTTATTTTATTTTTAATTTTATTTCAGATTCGTTCCTAATGGTCATTCTATCTCGAAGACCATCACAGAAACTTTCAAGGAACGACAAGATGCTACTGGCTACTCATGGAAGGATGTCAGTCAATCAACTCGTAAATTTTATTGGCATGAATTTTTGGTAACTATTGCTTTATATTTAAAATTTATAAGTAATTTATTTAATAGATGTCTCTATGTGTTTATTTCACCAAGTAATTTTTTTCCAGAAATCATATTAGTGGAATCCTACTGAAAATTCTATAATGGAACGTACATGGAATAAGGTGGCATCCACTTTATACTCCAAGAAAATGTATATTTGGCGAAAAGGTACAGTCAAACCTAATTTTGTTTTGGAGGATATTTGGAGAAGTTGGAAGACGCATTGGGCCTCAGATGAATGGATGGATAAATCTCGTATCGCCACTCGAAATCGATGTAGTGAGACTGGTGGACTAGGCACTGGTCCAAGCAAGCATACCGGTGGTTCTAGATCAACAGTGGAGCATACTATAAAATTGGTACCAAATTTAACACTTTCTATAATATTTTTCTAATCTTATCTCTTATTTTAATATTAAACTCTATTTTTTAGGCAATAGAACTACGTCGTCCACCAAATTCCGTGGGATATATTTAAGAAGTTGCATAAAAGAAAGGATGGCAGCTTTGTTGATGCCAAGTACTAAATGCATTAATGTAAGTTGTGTGTGTTGCTCTTCTTTAACCAAACATTGTAGGACTGATCCTTATTTTGTGAAGCTTTTAAAAAGAAAAAGGTAGATTTTATGTAGTTGTGTGTGTTGCTATTAAGAAGATTTGCTATAATTGTTTGTGTTGCAATTGAGCAAATTTTTGGGGCAGCTCTTTGTGCTGTTTTGTTGGGCAATTTTGAAGCAGATTTTGTGCTATTATGGATAGATTTTGTGCCTTTTTTTGTGGCAGATTTTGTGGCAGCTCTTTGTGCTGCTTTGTGCAGCTCTTTGTGCTATTTTTGGTGCTAATTTGAGCAGATTTTTATCATAGTTTTGATCATATGTTTTGCAGTTATTTGAGCAGTTTTTTTAATGCAATTTTGAAGTAGATTTTGTGCCTTTTTTGATAGATTTTGTGCTGTTTTTGGGGTAGATTTTGTGCTGTTTTTTTGTGCAGATTTTTATCTTACTTTTTTTTTATCAAATGTTGAGTATTTATTTGGACAGTTATTAATGCAATTTGAAGCAAATTGTGTGCCTTTTTTTATATAGATTTTATGCCATATTGGGGGCAGATTTTGTTCTGTTTAAAGAGTTTGTGCTGTCTTTTGGAAGCATTTTTTTTACAGAGTTGCTAGAAGCAACTTAATATGCACATATTTGTGGAAAGCTTGAGTTTTTGGTGGTTGATTGTTTGAAAATTTCAGGATAAAATGGAGGTTGTCTTAGCTGCTGCTATTTCTAGCTCCTCAGATGATTCACAAGAAGTTCAAGAACTTGATATAAATAACTTATACTTTGATGTTGTGGGTGGAGAAAAAAAACGACGTGTGTATGGTTTAGGCTCTCAAGGTTTGGCGTTGTATCAAGATCAAAATTCTATCACTTCGCGCAATTTACCTGCGGTGTCTGATGATGTTGCTGAAAAGCGCATTAAACTACTTGAGGAAGAAGTGTTGCATATGAGAGAAAATCAAGAGAGAGTTCTTCAAGAACGTTTAGAGGCGGAGGTGCAACAATGAGTAGAGCACGAGGTCTCGCGTTTGAGGCAACAAAGTGATGATCGATTCAAGTCTATGGAGGAACGATGGTCTCGCATGATGAGCGAGATGGCGTTATCCTCACGCTCATCTAGTAATCCTTCTCCTTAATAGGAAATGACCAAATGTTTATGTGTTTAAATATTTGTACACTTTTGCTTATTGAAGTTGTGCTTTGACATGTTTTAACTTCATAATTTTGTATTATAAATCTAATATTATGTTTGTTATATCATGGTGGTTAATTATTTTTATGTCTTTGACTAATTTACCATATATATATATATATATATATATATATGTATATATAAATAATAATTGTCGACTACAATATATAGCAATTATTATTTATTAAATTAAAATCAAATTTGTGACGGATTTAATCTGTCACAATTAATTCTAAATTTGTTACTAATATCTACAAGAGCAATTTTGTGACAAAATATTTCATCACAATTTACTTGTAACGAAATATTCCGTCACAAATATTGTGAATATATTTAGAAATTTGTTACAGAAACGATTCCGTCACTATTTTGTAACCAAATATTCCGTCCAAAATTCTGTCTCAAATTTGTGACGGAATTTAATTCAAATACAAGGATTTATATTGTCACCGTCAGGTCTGTCACTATGCCGTCACAATAAATGTGTGACGGAATTGAAATCCGTCACAATGAGTTTATGACCCCAGGTTCTGGGACGTCCATTTTTCCGTCACAAATCCGTCACACATTATCATTTGTGACGGATTTGTGACAGAATCGTCTGTCACAATTTTGCTATTTTCTTGTAGTGGTAACTATACCTCCCGCACTGCTTTCATCCCTACATATCTAATTAAAATCATCACCTTTAGCAACACGTTGAAGACGAATAGTAAAGATTCACAAAAAAATTAAAGAACAATTAATTTGGAGAAGGAAAGAATTAAAAGAAATTGTTGTTTTAGCAGAAAAAATCCGTAGGGAATATATATAGAGTTTAAGTTTTGTGCACCGTCAGTGTACAAAAATTTCTACACCATCAGTTACTTTTAATGAGATTTAACCATAGTAACTTACTTTAATAAAATAACATCTACTAAAAAAAAAACATCAACAAGGTAGTTGAATCAGACTTGGATTCTAACCAAAATTATTTTCTTCCAAAGTACGTCACTTTCTTCTCAGGGAACTTCAACTCCTATATTTTGCTCATCTACATTTAACTTTTCCATTAATCTTACAAAATACAATTATAAATGTTAGATAGCTTACAATAAATTATAAATCTGATCATATAAATAGTCAACACGTTTTCTGTAAAATATATTTAATATTAGTGAAAGTTCAATAAATAAACTCCTTCCCAATAATCTAAAGAGCAGAGCTTAAGTATTGGGGACAATATATGAAGACACTTTACGATACAATATTCACCTTTCAGGAGACTATGTTCACTTGTTTTTAGTGCATTGAAATTCTTTTGCTCGTGAAGATGTGTTTAAAAGGGCCATTTTTATGTTTCTAAATGAGAAAAATGTGAAATTTGTTCTAATTGCATGACGACATATCACTAAGTAGAAGAAGTGTGAAAAGTTTCAAAATCGTTTGACACTTAAAAATTATTTCTTACCGGTTGATAATGTTTGATGTTGTGAAAAAGTTTGATGCTGTGAAGAATTACTTGAGCTATAGAAAAAAGTGAAAAACCTACGATAAACATAGTAATTGTAATTAACTTTGAAAAAAAACAATTTAATTATGGAAATAATTTTTGTTAGAATCCAAGTATGATTCAACTACCTGTATACGAGAAAAAATCGAAAAGATTTTAACTCGCTCCACTTCATCCCACATTAGTTTAAACCCACACTTGCGTCGCTCAATAGTCATCCTATGGATAGGTTTTTTTGTTTCATCTTTTTATCTATGAACCTTTACTTGGCAGGCCATACTTTTATTATTCTTTGTATGATTAGTTTGAGTTTGTAATTTAAAAAAAAAACTTATGTTACACATTATTGACATACCATTAGTTCCTATATTGACATATGGTTGTGTATATATAGATAAACATATATTTAGTTTATAAAAAAATATATTTTAGACTAACAGATTATATTTGAAATCATTTTTGCATTATTATTTTTCTGAATGCAAATATAAGCTCTATATATAAACACATTAGTCAATATATAAGATCTATCGTATTTATAAAAATAATATGCGATAAGCGATAAATAGCTAAGAATGAAATATGATATATTGATGTGTGATGTTATGGAGTTAAGTTGTGAAGGATTGAAGATTGAAATATGATATATTGATGTGGACCACGTAAATATGAGATTGAAATATGAATGAGGATCGTATGGGTCCAATTTGATACAAAAACGATTATTGAGTCGGACAACTATGATGATACATGAAGACCATTTCATGAAATCATTGATATGACCACGTACACGTATGGATTTTTAATAAAATATTTTTTGTGGAGTATATTTTCCTTAATTCCAAACACACCCTAACTTTTTCCTCATACTGAAGTTTTGGCTTTGACTTCTTAATCATATAAATCAACAATTTTATACTAACATATAGAATACAAAAACTCCTCATATTTAGAGCTAAAATGCCAAAATATGAGTCATCTTTTATTTTTTTTGGGACCCACTGCGGTGTTGCCCCAAGTGTATTATGTTCACTTTGTTTATATTTGTTTCAGATTCCAAAAATAAATTTTTATTTTCTTTTTTCACTTTTAACAAATAAAGAAAAATAATTACATTTTTCTATGTCTTAATTTCAGCATTAATTCTTCATTGACCAAATTATTTTTCAAAATCTGATACTCCACTAAACATTAATTAATTGAGATAGTCTTGTAAAATAATTATGTCTGAATATTTCAAATTCATATGTAACAAGTAAACGGGAGTAGAAAATAATAGCAAAACGTACAAATTGTTTGCTGAGTAGGACCGTTTGGGACCTTTTTTCTTTGTTTGCTGGTGTGCCGCAGTGGAACTCAAATGACCACTCATTCTCCGATGCAAAAGGAACCAAACAACACTCATCAGCCCAACATGGTAAAACAACTAATGTTTGTATTTTTTCCATAGCTAATGTTTATGCGATTCTGCAGTCGTTTTTATTTTTATAGCGTTTTTTTCCTTTCCCTAAAAATGTCTAAAAGAATTTTTTTTTTATTTTTTTTGTGTGTGTGGGGGGGGGGGTGTATGACTTGAATCAGTGTTGCTAAAACTTATCTTTTGTGTAGCATTTTTAAAATGTTTTTTTCTAGTTTTGAGTTGAAATTAAATTAGGATATCTGGCAAAAATGTGTACTGTAAAAAAATTGATAATTGTCGTTTCATCAAATTGAATTTATTGCAAAATATACTTATTGTTCAAATTGATAGTGTATTAGCTAATTAAAATGCTTAAAGAGGTGCATAAACTAATTTAAATTAATACTCTATTGAATAGCTTTTTAAAGGATGGATAAAACTCGATACTTAGCTTGTTTAAGTTGGTTGAGACACTATGATTATAAAATAAAAATAAAAGAGTGTCAAACACTTAAAATGAAGGATAATATGGAACATCAGAAGTAGAAGTAAATATCGATAGAAAGTTTCACAGGATATATATATATATATATATATATATATATATAT